TTGTGTCGCAAGGAAACTAAAAGAGTTTCGTTGGATTCTTCAGGAAGAGTTCCATTTTGTAAAGCTTGTAATTCAGTTTTGGTCAAGGAATATTCGGGTTTAAGCCTATTCACGCAAATTACGTATTTCCAATACATTTTCGATTTGACTAAATTGAATAAAAGTGAGTTAGTTAAAGGTGAGTTGGATGTGAAATGATTTTTGTGTTTTTAGTACCACTAATGGAGCTTCAAATCGAAAAAGCTTATAACGAAATCAAGGAAACTGTAGAAAAGCGTTTCGAATTTTGTGGCTTTTCGACTATTAAGTTGGAAAAATTGTTTTCTTCGGTCGAGCATAAGAAAAAGCAACTGGAGGGTGAAGATAATCCTGATTTTATGATGGAAGAAAGTTTGCTTAATCTGATGTTGGAAGAGGAGTAATATCTTTTTAAATTATTGTATAGAATTATTGATGTTGCGTTATTTATCTACTTGTGGTTAAGGAATAAATAAACCTTTTTATTGAATAAATTTAAAAATTTGAAACAATTTTAATCAACCTGTAAAATCAAATTTTATTTTTCAGCGGTTTCAATCACTTCAACTAGTGCTATAATATGAACAAAACCTATAGTCATTAAGCTACATACTTATCTAACTACTAATCATTGTGGTTTTTGGTGGTGATTAGAATTTTTTTAATAAACAAATTAACTTACCTTTAAACCTGCTTCCATTGCGTAAAAATGGCTTCTTCCTTTTTTTTTTGTAGCAACAAAATAGGCCTTTTTGTAAGGTTTTTCGGGTGTTTTTAAGGTAATTATAAATAATAATACAATATTTAAATAATAAAGTAGATTTTTTATAACATTATTTAAGGGAGTACGGTTTTTCTTCGTTTGGCTTTCAGTTGTCGTTTTTTTTTTAATTTTCGCCGGAAATACGTTGAAATTAATTGAACGTTTAAATTTTTTGGAGCCCATCACAACTTCCTTGTTATTTACAACTCGATGCTTTTCAAAAATTGTTTCCAAAGTAGAGTTCAGTTTTTTACTCGTTTATCAAGGTAATAATTTTCAATCTCTTCTGGGCTACTTTCTTCACTTAATTTTAATGGTTTATGTCTTACTGGGATAGGCTCTGGTACACAAGTCCCGATTTTATTTCGTTTTGACATTCGCAGGACTGGCTTCAGGCATCAAGTCTTCATTTTCTCCCATTATCATTATCTCATAAAAAAACTATCATAATTAAACTTGCAATCCATGAACACTTGTTTTTTTATATAAAATCTTTATTAATAGCATGCTTTTTTGTTTTTTTTTCTTTATTTAGTTCGTAGCACGAGTTTCAGGAAAAAATTACAAGTAGATTCTACTATGTTTTCTATTTTTTCTTTTATAAATACTAGTATAAATTCTTATTAACATATTAAAAGTATTCTAATTATCCTGTTATAATAAATAATAGGAAATTACGAAACTATA